CAAGACCGCGGGCGTAAAGCGGAGGAAGGTTCCGGCTAAAAGGAATCCACCTTCTTCAACCTCTCACTCCACCCCCCCCCCCCGCAAGGAGGTGCTCCGGCGCTGCTGTTCAACAGTGCCGCTCACCCCGTGAGCGAGGTGTTCGACGAAATGGCTGCAAGGTATGCCTCTTCGGTCTTGGCGATTCCCTTTCATTTTTCGCCATTGTCTCGATAGCTCGTGACTTGTTATCATTCGCTATAGCGATGGTTCGAACAATGCAACAACCGAGTTCATGAACTTGTTGGACACGAACGCGGTTGACATTGATCAAGCCCCTTTCAAACCATTCGACTACAATGAAACGGACGGCGGCATGGATGATCATGGTTGTGCGGACGAATTGGAGGAGATCAAAGCGGAAGGGTTTGAGGAATCGCAAGCAAAGAGAGAAGATCAAGAGAGAGCAAGAAGCATCGAGCTTCAGGGAGAAGATTGATGCCATGGTGCAATCAAACGAGTTGATGTTGTTGAAGTCGTTGGAGATCAAGAAAGAGTTGGCCGAGAAGAAGGCAAAAGAGAAGCAAGAAAATGGCAAATGCTCGAGGAAGAGGGGCTCCGCAAAGCTGCCATTGAGGAGAGAAAACAAATCGATGTCATTGTTGCTCGCCGAAGAACAAGATCATGTCAATGAACTACAATGACATGGACGACCTCATCAAAACATGACATGATATGGCAAGGAGAGAGATCTTGAAGAGGAGAATGGTCGCCTCGGTCGGTCCGTGTTCAAGTTCCGGTGATGTTTTCTCTGCTCCATATGGTGGCAATGTGGATGATTTCGGTGCGGGAGTTGGAACAAGCGATGGAGGTGGATTCGGTGGCGCCGATGAACTTCAATATGGACTCCATGGTGCGGAGTGAAGATCGACCCCCAAGATGATGCCGGACATGGGCGCAAACCTTCGCATGCCCTCTTTTGCGTAATGAACTTCGCTTTTATTTGCGCACAAACTGTTTATGTCGTTTGAATTTGAACTTGTTTGCCAAACCCTATGTCAAATGTGAGATTTGCGGTTTATATATTTACGGATCGTCGCGGTGGTGCCCGAGCCGAACCCGCAGAAGCCGACCCGTAAAAAAGCATATTTCGCAAATATTTTTTTTTACGAATCCGTTTGGAGGTATACATCTGTGTCAGCCCGCCGACCCACAAAAATGATTTTACGTGAATTGCAAACGTGTTTTACGGGCCGATGGGATGCGGGGTCTACTAGTGTTGCTATCAGAAAAGTAGAGTCGGCATAGCCCCAAATCGAGACAACAGCCCCAGCGACAGTGAGCAACTGACAAGGGAGTACGGGCCCACATCATGTGACTGTTTCGTGGGCCCGTCAGCCACAGAATCCTCCCCGTCCAGCACATCACACAAAAACCCGTCGCTAACTTCAAAAAAAAAAACGTCGCTCTCCCATCCAGGGCCCACGCGATTGCTGCCACGCGCACCCTACCCGGTTGGTAGGTCGGTGGGGCCAGGGCATCTGCTGACGTGGGTGACCCCTCCGGCCTCCCACGCCACGCGGCTGGTGGCGACTGGGCTCTATAAATGGTGTCCTCTGTTCGAGACCCCGCATTCCTCCACCCAACTTCCCTCGTCTCCGATCGCATCGCATCGCATCGAACCGAATCGCCTTGAGGCTCCCACCAGAATAGCTCCGCGACAACGAGCTTCCTCGCGCGAGCGAAAAGATCGCACGGAAGGAGGTGCGGAAGTGAGGGGGCGCGCGCGCGAGGAGATGGGATCGGATGGCCGGAGCTGGAACGGGGTCGCCGGCGGAGCCAGAGGTGGCGGCGAGGAGAAGACGAGGGCGGTGGCGGCTCCGGCGGCAGCGCTGGCGGAGGTGCCCACGTCGACCGCCGCGGTCGACATCTCGCTGCCGCTGCCCGAGATGACTCCCCGCATCATGCAAGTCCCCTGACCCCTCTTCCCATTTGCTTCTGCGCGCGCGGGTGTGTGTTGGGCATGTGGCTCTGCTGCACGCACGCGCCGGGCGTGTGTTGGTTTGCGTATGGTGTTCGAGCAGCCACGACCGGTCTCCGCGAGATGGGCCGTGGTCTGTCCGGGTGCCCGCTCGTATGAACCGATGGTGTTTGGGGAAATGCCTCGCAGAGAGCGACAGGCGCCACCGCCACTGATTAATTCCCCGCTTCCCATTCTTGTTTTCTAATACGGTGGCTTGCTTCTCCAGAGATCTCTGCAAGGAGCTGGTGAAGGAGTGGTCGTCCCTGGACAGCTCGTGCTTCTCAATCTCGACGGTGTCAGGCGGCATCACCAACATGTGTGAGTTTTGCTCCTTGCCAGTGGCTGTGGCACTGTCCTGGCTCCTGATTCATCTCCCTCACCTAACTACCTGAGCATGCTTGGAAGAGGAAAAAACAGAGGCTATGTAATTATAGTAATTCTTAGGCAAGACAGTTGCTTGAATTGTCCACACAGACCATGACATAACTTAATGACTGCGCTTTAATGTAATTATAGTAATTCTTAGGCAAGGCAGTTGCTTGAATTGTCCAGATGTGGCACTACAACTTGATTGCATCTTGGTAGCCTTTATGAGACCATATACTCTTTAGCATCAGTGCTTTGCACTCATTTCTGCTTATAAATCACTCGTACTGTCATTGCATCCGGAGTTATGGACCCTTTATTTTAGAAGCGTCAGGAAATAATTTTCTCTATGTAACTGTACTAATTTACTTGTAAATCATAGATACAGCAATAATACCTAAATGGTTATCTTATATTGTTCGTGATGTTAATGACTGCAGTGCTGAAGGTATCTGTCAAGGAAGGCTCTGACAGTGAGTCGTCTGTGACTGTTCGGCTGTATGGCCCAAATACAGACTTGGTGATCGATCGGGAGAGGGAATTGCAGGTGAGCGCTTCAATCGTAGTGTATGGAAATTGTTTGTGCTACTGGCATGTAATATTTACCTGCATTCTGTAGTGTTCCTGTCGCCCATTATAGTATTGGTTTATTTCTTGGTGCTTTCTTAGTTGTGGTTCAGTTTAAAATTTCAGGAATGCAATGGTCATTTCCTATCATAGAAATAGTACCTATGCCATATAACACTCAAAGTACCTCACTGTTACATAAAACTAAGTTGTCAAGTAAGCCGAGTATTCTGCTGTCATTTTTGGGGCTGAACTGTTTCCTAATGCACACATCTATTACAATCATGGTTAGGCCATACCATATCTCTCAGCTGCAAGGTTCGGGGCTCGGTTACTTGGAGTATTTGAGAATGGAGTGGTTTCGTCATTCATCCATGCTAGGACACTATCACCTTCAGGTAGGTATTTTTATATTCTGCACAATACAAATGGGTGGTTTCATTGTCTACATAATGCAATGATTTATATTTTCTATTTTTCTATTTTTTCACACGGCAATTTGAAGGGATTTGTGGTTTTAGGTATATACTCAATGGTTGTTATTTTGCACCCATAGGTGTGTGAAGACTGGAGAGCCTGCAATAAATGCTTCTGCAAATAGTATGTTCATTTCCCTTGTTCTGTTTTTCAGACATGAAGGAGCCTAGAATTGCTGCTGAAATTGCTAAGCAGCTACAGAAATTTCATCAAGTAGATATACCGGGATCAAAAGAACCACAGTTGTGGAATGACATATTCAAGTTTTTGAGAAAAGGTTACATTCCAAACTCCAAAGTTGTTTCGGATATTTCATTTTGGAATTGGTTACTTTTATTTCATTCACATTCATTGAATGACACTACATAATATTGAGGTGTGCTGTGAACTATTTATCACAGCTTCTGTATTGAAGTTTGAAGATAATGAGAAGCAGAAGAGGTATGAGACGATCTCTTTTAGAGAAATACAAGATGAAGTTAAAGAACTTAAGGTACGCTGTGATAAGACTTAGTGTCATGTAGTATTGACCGTTGCAGCAATTTGAGCGCACTTCAGTTTCATATTCCTAAAGGAGTATCTTTTTTTTCCTTCTAATTTGGCTTTGTCACAAAGGCCTATTACATATTCATGCTAGTAGATCAATCCTATAGCACAATCATTCAATCAAATGGCTAGATGGCTGTTTGCTAGATTGGTATCCGTTAATATAATGTCTCACTGTCCTCTTATAGGATCTCTCCGATCTTTTGCATGCTCCTGTTGTGTTTGCACACAATGACTTGCTATCGGGTAATCTGATGCTGAATGATTTGGAAGGTAAATATCACATTCACTTGTCACCTTCTCTTGATTGTTCAGTAACATTATGCTTAAGCTTTCCTTTTGCCCATTTTGCAAAAGCTAAGATGGTGTCTCTGTTTGTTGTCATTATTGTCTTCTGTTTTGACAGAGAAACTATATTTCATTGATTTTGAGTATGGGTCATATAGCTACCGTGGCTTTGACATCGCGAATCATTTCAATGAGTACGCAGGCTTTGAGTGTGACTACAACTTGTATGTTCTCTTCTTGCTGGTTGAATAGTCCGGTGGAGCTTTTATCTTCATGCTCTTGCCTAGTAATATTTATTTTGTTGCTTCTTTTAGGTACCCAGATAAAGATGTACAATACCATTTCTTCAGGAATTATCTATCTGATAGACCAAGTGAGGTATGTGAATTCAATACATTATCTTCTCTGGACAAAACCAACTGAAAGCTATTCATAGGTTGTGCAGGCCTCGTCTCCGAGGGAAGAAAGATATTAATAAGCGCCCACTACTGTAACTTAGATGATGCTCATTCCAAGAGTATCTTTGTTTCTTATTTTGGAATTAAATCACAAACACCATGTCATGTGCTACATATACTTGACATTTATATATCTTTTAAGTTAAAGAATAGATGATTTGCATCTTTTTATGAGAAAAGAAATGTAGGATACTTGGCATTCATACAGTACAAGGTAGTAGAAGACATTCAGAGTGTTACTGAGAAAACAAGTGTTTTCCCCGAATAGCAGAACACAGATAATTTCGCATAATGTACTTTGACCATAACAATCTAACTTTTCTTTTACCGAAGGTCCAAGAGCAGGATCTGGATGCCCTTTATACTGAAACAAACACTTTCAGGTTAGCATCACACCTCTACTGGGCATTGTGGGCACTCATTCAGGTAAACACCATTAAGCTACTTTTAGTAGGATTTGAGCGCCATGCAACTGTCATAACAAAATATGTGCTGTAATCTAATTGCAGGCAAGGGTATCCCCAATCGATTTCGATTACCTTGGATACTTCTTCCTACGGTACGGCGAATACAAGAAACAGCGAGAGTTCTGTTTCTCCTTGGCGCAAGGCTTCCTTTCTTCCCTGAGGAGTGGCTAGTGCTCAGAAGTTGTGTCCCCGAGCCACTTCTTAGCCGCCCGCTTATACTTTGGGGCAGGCATGGATGATCGGCTGTTGTACTTGTGTTAATTAGCAAGCCTCGTCGTATGATAATGTCAGCTGTGAGATTCTTCCTTTTTCGTTTTGTTTTCCTGCAGGAGGCATGTAGTTCCCAATAGAAAGTTGTACAATCTGTGAATAATGTACACGTGTTGGTTGCTACAAACACAAGCCTAATGAATTCTGTTTTGTGTATCATTGTATGTCCTCCATTGATCAGATTACCGAAAGCTCTTTCAACATGTGATGATTTTTTCCACAATAAAAAGAGCTTTCCCCCCCTATGTGTTTGCAATGCGAGCATAGAGTTGTGCTCACCTTGTACCCTACTTGGTGACCTTACACAATACTGCTACACCTTACACATGATCACACCGAGCACACCAACGCCACAACACTGCTATGGCGATGAACTGGATGAAGATGATGAAGTTCTTCAGCCCAAACGGATAATCCACCTTGCCAACCTCAACCTTGCGGCATGCCTGCTCTCACACATACGTGGAGTAAGCATCTTTTGCCGGCTGTCTAGTCTTAAACCCTATGTGGCTGTTGTCGACGTACGCTGAAACTTGTTGGTTGCAAGCTTCCCATGAACTGTAAACCCCTGGAACCCTCCCTTCGAACACCGCATACCGCTTGCCCTAGCAGTGCAAGTGAGCAAATATGTTGAAGCAACAAGCATTGGAACACACAAACAACAAGCAATGAAGCACTCTAGGAAGTGAGCAAATATATAGGCCGTCCGATTTATATTTGACGGATAGGAAGGAAACTATTGCAATTTTGAAAAAAGATACCCACACCCCTCTCCATATTTGCAAATTAGGCCTCCCCTTGATCAAGTTGATGTTCTGTGGAATGCATGGGCATCTTGCTAGGACTACGTATAATATATAGAACATTGATCATAATTTGGGCTAATGTGTGGCTTTTGCAGCTCATGTCTAAATACTTGTCATAATGTAGGGGGCGGGGGAAGAGCATTAGTAAGCATGCATGATCATACCGCATAGCAAGTTCAACATACCACTACTTTGATGTCATCCTACCACCACATCCAAAAGAGGGTGTAATCATACCACCGCAAGTTCGTGATGACCGTGAGGATCACCGTGAGGGTTTAGTATATACGACCTCACCAAAATATACAGACCATAAGATTGTTTTTAAGCCCTAACTACACAAAATATACGTCGTTATCGTCATCGTCGTCCTTGTCGCCATCATCGAGGATTGATATGTCCATTTTGCATCATGATTTTGTACTGTTATTTATAATGTTTTTGGTCATTATTTCACTTTATGATACAATTCTAATGCCTTTTCTCTCTTAATTTGCAAGGTTTACATGGAAAGGGAGATTGCCGGCAGCTGGAGTTCTGGACCTAAAAGAGCTACAACAGAGATAGCTATTCTACACAGCTCCAAATGACCTGGAACTTCACAGAGATTTTTTATTTAATACAAAAAAAATACTGGAGCAAAGAAATACCATAAGGGGGCCACCTGCTGCCCACAAGGCATTAGGGCGCAGCCCTCCGACGCCCATCTTCTGCTATATGAAGGGTTTTGCCCTAAAAAAAGAATAAGAGGAGGACTTTCGGGACGAAGCGTCGAGGCAGAACCTGGGCAGGAGCGCTTTTGCTCTCCGGCGGAGCGATTCCGTCGGGGATACTTCCCTCCAGGAGGGGGAAATCGAAGCCATCGACATCACCAACGATCCTCTCATCGTGGGAGGACCAACCTTCATCAACATCTTCACCAACACCATCTCCTCTCAAACCCTAGTTCATCTCTTGTATCCAATCTTTGTCTCAAAACATCAGATTGGTTCCTGTGGGTTGCTAGTAGTGTTGATTACTCATTGTGGTTGATGCTAGTTGGTTTATTTGGTGGAAGATTAAAAGTTCAGATCTTTATGCATATTCAATACCCCTCTGATCTTGAGCATGAATATGATTTGTGAGTAGTTATTTTTGTTCTTGAGGACATGGGAGAAGTCTTGTTATAAGTAATCATGTGAAGTTTGTATTCGTTCGATATTTTGATGATATGTATGTGATGTCATGTGAGCGTCGACTACATGACACTTCACCATATTTGGGCCTAAGGGAAGGCATTGTGGAGTAATAAGTAGATGATGCATTGCGAGAGTGACAGAAGCTTGATACTTCTCCAATGTATCTATAATTTATGAAGTATTCATGATGTTATATTATCATTCTTGGATGTTTTACAATCATTTTATAGCAAATTTATATCATTTTTTGGGACTAACCTATTGACATAGTGCCCAGTGCCAGTTGTTGTTTTTTGTTTTTTCTTACTTCGCAAGAAATCAATATCAAATGGAGTCCAAACACAGCGAAACTTTTTGGAGAGTTTTTATGGACCAGAACACCCAGGATGGGCTAGAGAAGTACCAGAGGGGTGCCCCGAGGGGGGCACAACCCACCTGGGCATGCCTGGGGCCCAGGCGCGCCCTGGTGGGTTGTGCCCACCTCGGTGGCCTCCCGCACCGCCTCTTCGCCCTATAAATCATCAAATATTCCAAAAACCCTCGGGGCAACCCTAAATCAGAAGTTCCACCGCCGCAAGCCTCTGTAGCCACAAAAAACCAATCTAGACCCCATTCCGGCACTCCGCCGGAGGGGGAAATCATCACTGGTTGTGACACCCTAGTTTTTGCCCTTTTTCTTTTTTTGTGTTTTATTGCATTTTTTATTTGAATTTGAGTTTTGAATCAACTCATTTGGACTTAATCACTTGGACATTTCTTTGATTTTCACCCAAGTGACTCATGTCACTCTCAAACTCATCCCTTGCCCTCTAATATACCCAACTATGGCCATGGGGATGTTTTCTTAAATGAAAAATATTCATTTTCTCTCTAAAATAGTATTTCAATCACTTCTACTCCAAAGCAACGCTATATGGGTCGTGGTGGACATGCTGACCAAGGCGGCCCATTTCATTCCTATCCAGACCACATACCGGGCAAATCAACTGGCTCAACTCTATCTGTCCCGAATCGTCAGTTTGCATGGCGTACCTAGAACCATCACCTCAGATCGAGGATCCCTTTTTACCCCGGCATTGTGGTCACGTCTTCACCAAGCCTTGGGGACATGATTGAAATATAGCACAACTTATCACCCTCAGACAGATGGCCAGATGGAGCGAGTAAATCAAATACTCGAGGACATGCTCAGGGCATGTGCTCTCGCTCAAGGACCCAAGTGGGAAGACAGCTTACCCTACGCTGAGTTCTCCTACAACAACAGCTATCGAGCCAGCCTCAAGATGTCACCATATGAAGCCTTGTATGGATGCAAGTGTTGTACCCCCTTAAACTGGTCCCAGATCGGAGATAGTCGTATTTTTGGGACTGACTTGATGACGGAAGCCGAGAAGCAAGTCAGGGAAATCCGAGACAGATTACAACTAGCCAAGTCTCGACAAAAGAGCTACTATGATGCTAAGCATCCACATATCAGTTTCGAACCCGGTGAATATGTCTACCTCCGAGTCACACCTATGAAAGGGTCAAGAGATTTCAGACTCGGGGAAAGCTTGCACCAAGGTATATTGGTCCATTTCCAATTATGTCCAAGGTTGGCACAGTGGCATATTAATTGGAACTTCCCACGGAACTATCAGAGATACGTGATGTCTTTCACGTATCACAGTTGCGAAGGTGTATCTCACCTCCTGAGAAATAGACTGATATGGTATAAATAGAGCTTATTAAGGATCTGACATATGAAGAGAAACCTTTCCGAATATTGGATGAGATGGAAAGAGTCACCCGCAGCAAGTCAATTAAGTTTTACGAAGTGCAGTGGGAACACCATACCGAAAGTGAAGCTGCCTGGGAAAGAGAGGACTTTTTACGGACAGCTTATCCTGAATTGTTTCCTGAGCAACCGAATCTCGAGGACGAGATTCATCCTAAGGGGGGAGGTTTGTGACACCCTGGTTGTTGCCCTTTTTCTTTTTCTGGGTTTTATTGCATTTTTTATTTGAATTTGAGTTTTGAATCAACTCATTTGGATTTATTCACTTGGGCATTTCTTTGATTTTCACCCAAGTGACTCATCTCACTCTCAAACTCATCCCTTTCCCTCTGATATACCCAAATATGGCCATGGGAATATTTTTCTTAAATGAAAAATATTCATTTTCTCTCTGAAATAGTCTTTCAATCACTTCTACTCCAAAGCAACCCTCAATTTTCTTGCCCACAAAAATCTGAGAAAATTCCTGAATATTCTTTGGACCTTGGCACATCTCCCTGTGCAAAAATATTTCATGGTTATTTGGAATACTTTTGCTACAGAAAATCTTTTCTGTTCTGGCCAGAAAATGCATGTTGTGAAGGAAGTGCATTTTTCCTTGATCCAATGGAGCTGAAATTTTTAGGCTTCATTACCCTCCTAAGTAACCCTTAGCCACCAAAAATCATCTCTTAACTCTCGATTCTTCTCTATTAAGCTCCAAAGTTTCTGTCCGAAAACTTGCTCCCTCTCTCATGTTCATCTTAGTCGGCCTGGCAGTATGCCATTTACTTCCCTGGACCCCTCTATGCATGAACTACACACCAAAAACAGTTTGCACAGCCCAGGTCGCGTGATGCCAGAGTTTACACGGTGACCATGCAAAGACATGGTGCCAGGTAGTTGTTCGATGCACTCTGGGTGCCGCCAACACCCCTGTTTCGCTTGTGCGCGTGCCATAGGCCAAACCAGCTCGCCACCAAGCGAGTGCTGCTTCATCTCATCGCCCTTGACCCCTCCCTGCCGCTGCTGACGCCAGAGTTCACCACAGTGAGCATGGGCATGATGCGGCCAAGTGCACAGTGCGTCCGTGCTCGTGTGCTCGTCTCCACCCGCGCCCTCCCACACTGGCCGCATGAGCCGTGGAGCTCTCTCTCTCTC